CGAAAGCGTATAATTCATATTTCACAACACAAAAACATCGTTCGTGAAGCTTTTAAAGGCCTTATTCATAAAAAATAAAGAGCTTTATAAATTGACGTTTTCACACATTTTTTCAATTTGTAAACCTTTTATAAAGCTAATTTATTTTTTATGAATAAGGCCTTGAGTTCTTTTCAGTGTCGCACCAACCACATTCATTCAAATGATAGCTACATAAAACTAAGAAATCGTTTGGTATATTTGTTAAAACAATTTATTACATTATTTATCCTCCTATGCTAAAAAAATATCTTTCGCTGTTGTATAAGTTTCGACGACATAGTTATAATGAACAATTGATCACATTCTGAAGTAAAATGTCCCACCAGTCCCAATTGAATAGCTCTAATATAACTCATGAAAGAATTACCCTCTTATATTAAAATTATAATTTTCTTGGTTTTGTTAAAATTTTTGAAAATATACATTAGACGGTATCACGATGTAAGGGCCGTAGAAAAGTTCAATTTTTTTTTACGCGGTTTTGAACACTTACTAAAAGAATATTTCAGCAAAGTAAAATTAATATTTTTTGTTTTGATTATCCACTGGCAACTGTACCGCGTTAGCATCTTAAAATAAGCTAATCTAGCCAATTATAACTGGCCGTAGACAAGCTCCGTAATATAGTTATACATACTTATTTAAAACATGACAATAATTATATTCCAAAATGATTCTCCGAAAGTATAATGGAGTTGTGGATGTAGCGGTCTTTAGCAGTCAATTAAATGTGACGTCACCATTAGTATTGTTGACATTGTTAAAATTTATAAGCCTCGTGAATGCCAGCATACTCTGTGGGAAAAATCTGAATCAGCTGAACAGTGACTGGGCTCAGGATTGCCTTCAGACTGATAGTGAGTTAAGGACAAAAATAGTAGGTTGTGAATGTCTTCTGTGCTCACTGGAATTCAATTTTTGGAACGTTTCGCCATAACAGCTACAGGGTGATTAGGTGAAAATGTCCATTATATTTCAAAAATCATCATCATCAGGACACTTTTACGCGTTGTTGAACTGTTCAATTTTGCTATTTCGACTTGATCGTGTGCTTGTTGTATAATAAATTATCATAATCGTTGTCAACATTATCGTCATTAACTTGGTCAATTGGCGATGGGAAAAAACGAGCTATAGTAACATTCATCGGAGCAGAAACCAGTTTTGAACGAATTGATTTTCCTGCGGGGGTCAAATTGACAGCAGAAAGGTGCACACATGTGTGTGATGCAAATAATATAAACTAGAAATCTTACTTATTTAAGTGAAATTATAAAATTTGTATATGCATGGGCGTAGCCAGGTAAGGGCAGGGGGGGCGGAGTCCGAGCCCTAACTTCCAAATTTTTGCCTAGATATTGAAAAATAGTACCAGGAAATGTTTGCTCGATAATCGATCGGAATCCCCCCTATATATATACTACATAACAAATTATACACCCAATGCTAACAAAATAATTAGTAAATTGATTTAAAAAGTGGATACAGATGCGTGCAACTAATTAGCAACGAGTTTCAAAACGATATTGCTTGCAAATTATGTTTATTTATTTATTTTTAATAATTTTCATTTAAAATATAATTCAATCAATAACAGAAACCACAATAACAAAAGTTGCAAAGCTTGCACAAATTGCAAAAAAATTAATCAAACTTAAAAAAATCGTCATCAAAATTTCAAAATTTTTAATTAGAATATATAGAAAATGTTGGGGTATGCAGTTTTGTAGCCCATTCAATTTTAGAATAATAAAGTGGAAGTTTCAAGTCGCTAAAGATTACCGTTGATTTTTTAGAATTTTTTTTGTCGAGGGTGCTGCGGATTTTTTTCCATGTAAAAAAAAATTTTGATCATGTGTTACATATGTATATGGAAAATCTACTCAAATTTGGAGGGAACACTTTTCGACACTGAAAGAAGTGGAGAAGACGAACCCGAGTCCCTAGTGGATGACGATGGACTCGATATTCCAGCGCCTGACTATGTCGAGATACGAATACCGATTATGCCGATGAAAAGTAACAAAGCTGCCGAGCAATTCAATTACGATGGCAAGGAGCTAATAAGGTGCATGCCCGACGACTGTATTTCAAGTGCGCTCTGCCCAATTCACAAGAAAGGCGACTCCGCTAAGCATGCCAACTACCGCGGGATGAGCTTTCTAAGCATAGGTTACAAGGTCCGTCAATGAACTGATTGGACCTTATCAGTGTGGCTTTAGACCTGGCAAATCCACCATAGACCAGGTATTTACAATACGCCAAATTTTGGAAAAGACCCGCGAGAAAAGGATTGACACTCACCACTTATTTGTCGGCTTTAAAGTCGCTTTCGACAGCACTAAAAGGAGGTGCCTATACGCCGATATGTCTGAATTTGGCATACCCTCAAAACTCATACAGCTGTGTAATATGACGTTGAGTAATACCACCAGCTCCGTCAGAACTGGGAAAGATCTCTCCGAGCCGTTCGCCACCAAACGGGGTTTCCGATAGGGCGACTCCCTTTCATGTGACGTTTTTAATCTGATGTTGGAGAAGGCAATGCTGAATTGAACCGCTCAGGAACAATTTAGTACAAGAGTATACCATTGCTGGCTTATGCCGATGACATCGACATCATCGGTAACAAAAACCGCGAAGTCTGTTCTGCCTTTTCCAAGTTCGATAAGGAAGCAAAGAAAATGGGTCTGGTGGTAAACGAGGACAAGACGAAGTATCCCCTGTCATCAAGCAGACAGTCAGCACATTCGCGCCTTGGCACCCACGTCACGGTTGACAGTTATAATTTCCAGAAAGTAGAGAATTTCGTTTACTTGGGAACCAGCACTAACACCGATAATAATATCAGCATGGAAATCCAACGCAGAATCACTCTTGCCAACAAGTACTACTTTGGACTGAGTAGGCAATTCAGGATTAAAGCCCTCTCTCGACTTGCTGATTATGGCTCAGAAGCATGGACAGTGACAACATCCGATGAGGTGGCTCTTAGAGTATTCGAGAAAAAAAATTGCGGAAGATTTACGGGCCTTTACGCATTGGGGATGGCGAGTACCGCAGACGATGGAACGACGAGCTGTATGAGCTTTACAACGACATGGACATAGTGCAGCGGATTGAAATACAGTGGCTTCGCTGGCTTGACCATGTCGTTCGAATGGATACCGACGCTCCAGCTCTGAAACTATTCTGGCTTCCTTGGTATTTCCAATTGGCGTCAGTTGGCACAGAAGAGAAATGACTGGCGTGCTTTGTTGAACTCGGCCAAAATCGTCTTGGCGGTTACAGCGCCAAATAAGAAGAAGAAGAATAGAATAGATCTATAACCTTATCAGTCACACAGTGTTATAATCCCGACGAAATCCTTAACGGTGGCACCGGGTGGGGAACGGTACGTGACGGTAGGAAGTTTAGTTTGGGTGAAAGTCTCACACTGACGGATTAAGCTTTCGATGCTTCCTCCTCGTAAAATAAACATGCGCAGTAAAAAGTTAACTATTTAAATTGTCGAATAGTTTGTGAACTTCTGTTTATGTGGTTTTGTTCAACATATTTACCTATATTGGGTACAATAATTTTAAGCTATAAAAAATAATTTTTTAGTAATGTATTGGTTTTGAAAATTTTTTTTTTGTATAGCCCCCTGCCCCCCTAAATTTCGTTCTGGATACGCCCATGATTATATGTGTAAATATAATACAAATTCTACGTATTCTTATTAGTGTGGTTCTTAAATGTAGGAATTTTTGTATCAGATTTCCTAAGCCTCACCCTTACGTTGATGCTAATATAGTCGCAGATATCACATATAAATTTTGGTCCCGATTGAAGGCGGTTAAGGCGTATCGTTCAGACAACCGATTCCAATCGGAACCAAAATTGTATAAGTGATATCCTCGACTTTATCAGTATCGATTTTGGGTATTAAGGGAAAAAAGAACCCCTTTGTGACACGCCTTAACCGACTCCAATGGGACCAAAATGTATATGTGATATCTTCGGCTACGGTAGTAACGATTTTGGTATTAGAATAAAAAAATAATAATTTTAATTTTGTTAGTCTCTATTAGAGGAGTCTGTACTTTGCCCCCTGTGCGACAGGACGTAATCGTCTCCAATCGGGACCAAAATTTGTATGTGATATCTGTGGCCGTGGTATTACCGATTGAGTGGGGGAGACTGAAAAAAATCGTTCATTTAATTTTTAAGGACCACCCTATTGTACATACATTCATGTGTACACATGTATAATTTAACAATAACAGCATGGGTGCATCCAAAAAATTTTTTATGGGGGCTTTGGATATGAATCAGAATTAACAAAAGGATTCTAATTTGTATGGAGATTTATTCCCGGTAAATTTCTCCCGGACGAAATCAACTCGTCAAAGCATCGTGACCAAAGGTTTGTCGTATGTATGTATGTACTCAACGATTCGATCAAAATCGCTACCAGCGATCAATTGCACAAATACTCATGGCGGTATCAATCGCTGCATCATAAACGCCGCCATATGAATTTGATCGCTAGTAGCGATTTTAAGCGCATCGAGCGATGCGAATCGCTAGGTCATGTACTTAGCCTAAGGGGGAAAATGATGAAGAGCAAGTCACAAATTTTATAAATATTGTATCTGTGTCAGCCAGAAAATGTGGTAGACAGCCTGCAGAGGCTTCAGTTCTCAACCCAATCGAAAAGAGTTTGGGCCATATGCCTATTTAAGCGTTCAAGCGCCAAAAACACACACAGAAAAGAGTCTCTAAACAAATTTCACTTTGCTTTACTCAATTATTCGTTTCGGAAATATCAAGAGGTTTTTAAACCCCCAAAACCAGCCGCCCCCTGGTTTACGCTCATGAAAAACATACAGAGCGATATGCCTTCATCGGACAGGTATTTAAGTCATTTGAAACGAACTACACGTTTCCAGTTAATTTAAATTCGTAATATTTCTCACATCGTTGCAATTTAACAACGTAAGATACTCAATAATCCGCAAATCGTTGTGAACTTCGATAAAACTGAAATGACTTTTGAGTATAGCCAAGATATTGCCAAACCTCCGGAGTATTTGAATTTGCAATTCATTGAGGATGTGACGGAAAATGCATTGCGGGAAACAAATGTTAAAATCATAAAAGCTAACTTCAGTTTGGGCAGTGCTGTAGGCGAGAACTACTGCAGCTTGGTATATCGCATGAAAGTGCAATACGAGTTAGCAGTGTCGGGTAAGCATGGCGAGTTATCTGTGATCGTTAAATGTCTACCTCCCATGGATGGAATTGATTTCCTGGATGAAATTAGCGTATTTGTAAAGGAAAAGACAATATTCGAGGAGATGTTACCAAAACTCTCGCTGTTCCTGCAGTCGGGCGAGCGCTTCGGTGGGCGGTATGTGTACTAAATAACACTGTAGTTCTTTATACAGAAAAAAAAATGTTTCAACTAGCGTTTTTTACCTATTGTAGTCTCTATCACGCCATTAAAAGGCCTGTGAATTGCTTAGCCTTCGAGGATCTAAATGTGTGCGGTTACCAGATGGCATCGCGCGAACGAGGATTAAATGAGACGCATGCGCGCTTGGTGATGAAACGCATTGGGCAATTTCACGCAGTCTCAATGCATCTCGCAAAGAAGGTAGGCGAGATATTTAGCAATATCAAAAACAAAGTACGAGTATGTATTTGTATCGGCTTTATGAAGTTTTATATTCTTAACATCATAGCATCACATGTGCCATTCTGCTGTAAAAGCTCGGTGGGTGAGAGGTGTGGGCTCTATCCAAAGGTAATAATCAAGCCAGTTATATTGCATGGGTCCACTGGTAAAGTCCATGTTAGAATAAGCTGAATGTCAACCCCAACTCTAGTGCTTAACACTGTGCTTAACCTGTTACTCGTAGGCAATACGGAGTAAGCTGTCGCAGTCATTGGTTTTTTATATATCGAACTTACTGGCTACAGTGTAATATCAACAATACGGACAAATTTCACTCTGACAGGAAAGCGGTAATCAGGGTTCCATGATCGCGTATGGTCTCGTCAGAAAACGCCCCTTGGTAACCTCGTATTACTTCCAAATTAGACAGAGTCATTACAGGAAACTGGATAGCTGATTAATTGGCTAAGCAAGGCACTCTTGAGGTCATCTTTCCAGACATGGAAGCGTGAACAAAGTATTCTTGGAGAGATGGGTTTTAGTCAGCTCAGTGAGAGCTGGGCGAAAACCACGACACTCAACACTCGACCGCGCGGTCAGTAGAGCTTCTTTAGCTGGCCAAACGCCAACTCTCACGAAATTAAAAAAATAAAGCTTCCCGAATAATACAACGATAGGCTTTATGTTACTCATTTTTTAATTGTGTGCCTCGCACAAATTAGAAGATGGGATATAGTGTTTTCCTTGGTCCTGATAAAGTGAAGTGCATAATTTAGCAAGTTATTAAAACAGTAGCATTTCCTTCGCTTTCTCCTCTCAGCTTTAGGGCCACCACTGTTCTTTTTTGAAGTTACTAGTTATTCCTAAGATAGCGCTTGTCTTATTTGTTTTATTTTAATGATTTACTATCCCATCCGCAGGACCCGCATATACCCCAGCTCTACAACCGCGGCATGCTGTCCCGCAACGCACTTAAACCTGACGGCTTCCTGCTGCGATTCTTCTCCCGAAGTGCCAACGCTCTACTGCAACTCATCTCCAAATGGCCCGATTACATGGATATTGCTGAGAAATTGCAAAAATACATTGAAAACATAGCCGATAATTTGGTGCGCGCTCAGGCACCCGCTCCAGATGACACATTTCGCGTACTAAATCATGGTGATCTTTGGGTCAATAATATACTCTTCAAATACGATGACAATCATCAGGTGCAAGATTGTATATTTATCGATTATCAGATGACAGTGTGGACCAGTCCGGGCGTTGATTTGAATTATTTCCTATACACCAGCTTGCGATTGGACGTATTGAAAAATAAGCGCGATGAATTGTTGAAGGAGTATTACCATCATTTTCGCGCTAAACTTGTCGAACTCAACTACAATCCTTTGCCGAGCTTTCAACAAATCTGCGGTGAAGTACGCAGACGCGCTAGCTATGGGCTGTTCGCTAATTACGGCATCTACCCCCTCGTTGTACAGGATAAAGAAGTAGCTAGTGATAGTAGTTTGGATAATATGGCTGACGCAGATTTTGCGGCCAAAAAATTTGAAGAAATGTTTGCTTCCGTGCAACTGACAGAAACGCTGCGGTACACTTTGAGAGAATTCGATAAAATGGGGGTTTGGGATTGAGTACGACGAATATTATTAACTTCAATGGGCAGGTTTTTCAGTTTTAGGGTAATTATATGATACTTTATTTTTAAAAGTTGTGATTAGTTGCTTAGAATATCGTGTAAGAAGGTCTACATTTAAGATTTTTTAAATAAAAAAATTTTGCAATAAATCTGCAAGACTATTTTTTGTCAATGCTATTCGCACCTGAAACTCCATATCCAAAGTTATACCCTTTTCCTCTAAAGCTCCCTATCTAGTTAGGTATAGTTTAATCAATACATTATTCTTATGAATTTCCTTGTGCTTCAGTTGTGATTCCCTACAGAGTTTTGTAAGTTTTTGTTGTTCCTGTTTTTCGGATGTTTTTCTGAAATATTTCAGATTGAGTTTTTCGTTGACTACGCTTTCCTTCTGCACTTCACATATGCTTTTCCATTATTCGGAAAAAAATAACTTACCTTTTTATTTCGTGTTTCTATACGTTTCTGGAAACTAAAACGAACGAAACTGCAATCTCGGCAAGGCGTACGTTTCTCTGCTGTCTGATGCCTGCTGCTCAGCATCAAATGTAGCGGCAACAATAAATAGGACAACGCAAAGTGGCAGCGACCAAACCGTCGAAGTCAGAGCGGCTTCCATTTCCAGGCGTATTACCTCCGCTGCGAAGGCGGTCATAAGGCAGCAGCCGTCAGCAGCTGATAAAATGCAAGAACTGGCGCTGATGGCAGCTGTTAGATTAGCGTCCAGAAAGCCTAGAAAACCAAGGCAGCCTGGAAATGACGTTAAGCTAAACAGGCCATGTTACTACTTAGTTACATGCAACATGCACGTGTTGTTGTAGCTGGCAGGGGTGTTGCTGTTGTTGTGTGTTGGTTGGTTGGTGTTTGCCGTTTGGTTACAGCCAGAGCCAGCAGCAGATGCGATGAGCTCACACAGATTGTGTTGACAAAATTTGAACGTGACCAAACAGTAGCAAAGTGAAATACGCCAAACAGTGGCTAAGACATTGGTTAGCAACAAGCTATCAACTTCCATGACTAGAGAAATGTAATAAAAGCAATTGTGGCAACAACAATGTATGTATCGGAGATGTTGCACAGTGACTTACAATGAACGTAAAAGTATGTAATAAATGCTCTGAAGTTGGGTAAAATAGTTAAGCTTTAAAATCGATAAAGGACCACATTCATCAGTTCGTTTACGGTGGGCCTTAGCCCTTGGTGCAATTCGCTCGATAAGGCCTTGTATGCTATATATACAATGTATATAGTATGTATACATATATGAATATAACAAGAAAATCCAAAACCTCTAGTTTTATGGGAGAGAGTAAAACTTGTCTTAATTCAAAACGCTTCCCTCTTTTAAACTGAATTATCTCTTCTTCTTATATCTAAGTATCGATATTTTATTATAAATGGTTAAGGTTTTGAAGCCACGAGCTTCCGGTGAGCAAATATCTCTTTTGGCACAAATGTCAGTTACGAGATTTTGCAGAACCACGATACGCGGTTTTGTACTTTAAACGACGATATGTAGAGAGTTGGCACATAGTCAAATTTCAGCTTACAGGCATGCAACGCGTATCTCGTCGTAGGCGGGAATGTGCAATGTTGACTCCGTCGTTCTTGGCTCGGGCGCATCTTCTCCAGATCTTGAAACCTCGATTAGCTTTCTGATAGAGCCTTTTCAAATAAATACTTAAGTACAAATTTGTACAAATAAAATACAAATACAAACTCTCGTGTTACTTATGTATATTCAAAAGAAAGAGTTTTTATTTGAAGCACCTATATATGAATAGGGAAAAATATATAGCAAAAATGTGGTCTACTATTTTGAACTTAAATTTTTTTGCTCCGAGTCCGATAACCCCACATTGGACCCGCGTTTTAAATTTAAAAAATCTGACATCGCCACCTCGAAAACACCCTTATATAAAAGTTTTTGGTGAAAGGAGAAAAATATAAAACTTTGTCGCCATATTGGAGTGGCTATTGTGAATTTCAAAAATCTGTAATCAGATTCGAAATCAGCGACCTCGAAAATCCGCATTTAAATGAGTTTGTGGTGAAGATAAAAAAAATTATAAAACTTGGTCGCCAATATTGGATCGGCCATTTTAAATTTAAGAAATCTAACATCAGATTCGAAATCAGCGACAACAAAAACCCGCCAAACACCAAGTTTCAAATCAATTTGGTTACTTCTGGACTTTTGGCCCGCAAATAGTAGTCACCAGACCACAGTGCAATGTAAGAAATAGCGAAATGTCCTTAAGTATTGGGATTAAGCCAATCGCAGCTGGGTGGTTATTGGCCAACAGAGGTAGAGTTGGAGGCGATTCGATGTCATGTACCCGACCTGAAACTACAGTCAACATGTACGTAAACATTGCCAGCATCACCCGTTCTCAACACGTTCACATCACTGGCATGGGCAACAGACACAGTTAACAACAGCAATATTTAGTAGCCCTATCAGAAGTAGCTGCAGCAACTCAGCCAAACGGTACAACCACAAAACTACGGTGACAACACAAATCGAGTCAAATTCAGAGGAAACCATCCATGCCACGTACCATAGTTGAGCATTTAACTGATTGCACTGGCAAAAAGACAAAAAAAAATTAAAAACAAAAACGGAGACCTGCAGCGTTCACAATCGCAGGGAGCGACACGAGCAAACACAGCAACAACGCAGCCAGCAACAATAGTACATAACATCAAACAGAAGATCTATAAAGTGATTGGAACAAGAGCGACAATCTCCCGTTGGAAAGTGGCAACAATAGGTGGCGACAGCGGTAACAACAGTAGCCGCCGCCTGCAACTGATTGCGCCTCTTTTGCCGCTATTCGTTCAATCAATATTTGTTGCTAGTCGTATGTATGTATGAACTTGAATTTTTAACGGTACAAGAACATGATATGTAAGTACCCTGCAGGAAAAGCTACCAGTTTTGATCTGGAATCCTACCAGTTTGCGTTTCACTCCAACGTTCACGTTGTATCCTTTTTCAATGTGTCAATTGTCCGCTCCTGCACCAGCAGTAGAAATACTAGTAACAATGGCCCCAGTACAAAGCTCTTGCGCGCCATTCGAGGGTCCGAGAACGAATCTCAGTCGGCGAATACTTTTTTTACTTTCCTTTTATTAGCTCGGGATGTAACTATGCAATATTGATGCGCCTAAAAGATGCAGCGATTTCTATTCTCAAGTTATATACCTGATGACAGTACGAATGGCAATTATAATAGGGAGGCTCTAGTTTTTTAAACTAAAATTGTTTTATTTCTTTTTTTTATTTGCATATGTAAATGGGAAAATATAAAAAACAGGTACACTTTCAAAACAAAAATTTTAATTTTTTAATTTGTGGGCACACCTATATATGTTTTGTATATGATTCTATTCTATGATCTTTTAATAAATCGATAAGTAAAAGTGTGATTCATTTTCATCAAGTGCTGCAAAAATTAAACGAGAAATAAACATTTAGATCGCTGAAATAGAAAACAAAAGAATAAGCTGGATACAAATTACGCTGTGGAAGTTGTAAATTTTGAGCAAAGATTTTGAAAGTTGAACTCACTTAATTGCAGCCTTCTAAACTCAATTACTCCCTTTAACAAATTGCCTCCGGTTTTCGAGATAACGGTACTTGAAAATTTGATTAAATTTTAACTATTTTATAAATAACTCTCTCAGTTTTGAAGTTATTTTACAAAAATTTTGCACATAACGGCTTTGCAATATAACCTTAAATATCCCTTAAAATTATCGAAATAGGTCCACTTTAACATATAGCTCCAATACATCTAATTACTCAGATATGTGTTTTTGCGCTATAACTCTAACTTCATATCTGAAAAATGAATTGTATGCGTGCTATATACATATGTTAAAGTGAATCTGTACTAAGTTTTTACCTGCTTAATTGTAGGAGTTATAACGAAAAACAACGGCTCTGTTGTAAGCGAGCTAGATGTTATAGTGAACCGATTTCGATGATTTTAAGAAATAGTGATGGTAGTGCTCAAATACAATCTTGTACAAAATTTTAATAAAATATCCTCAAACCTGAGGGAGTTTTTTTTATAAAATAGGTAAAATTTAAGCGAAGTTTCAAGTACCGCTATCTCTAAAAATGGAGCTCATCGGGCAAAATGGGGGACGCCATTGAGTTTAGAAGGCTCCATTTAAATAAGAGCAACTATCAGAACCATTGTCGAAAAAAATTTTATTCGATACCACGATCGAAATATTCTGACTACAAGAAGGAGCATCATTAAAAGTAGTAAATCAGGGTTTGTACGCACTTCTAGAAAAAGTTGTTTGAAGCATTTTACATGTATATGTGACGTTATAAGGGCTAGAAGTTTCGACGTATTTTCCAAATGTTCAATTAAGATGTTCTTTTGGAATAAAAATTACGTTCAAAGTCGCAGAATTTTTAATATTTAAAAGTTGGATTATTCTGAAAGCACATCTCAGGTTTGAACTTATAGCCCGAACACAATGAAAACGACGAGCTACAAACCACAGCTGTCAAATTATTTTAACACGTACTCTTATGTAGATAATTATTTTGGCGACGACCGGGCTACGCGACGGCTGTGGTTGTGGCCAGATTAGATCTATTTCTATTTTTCTGGCGACAGATAAGGTTCTTCCTCTTCTTTTATGTCAAACTCATACAAATTCATGATGTCGCTGCCGCGTTCAAAGAAATCATGTCGCCATCGACAAAGCGTTTAGATAATGAAGATGACAAATTGGAAGCTGTGGTCCGTAGCTCGTCGTTTTCAATGTGTTCAGAACTTGAGGCTGACAAAATATTTTTTTTTTCACATTTATTTCAACATAGTTTGATTAAAAGAAAAATACTGATATAAAATAAAATATTTCACACAAACAACAAAAAATAAAAGTAATCTTAAATCAATGATTCGCGATAATCGCGTAAGGCTATTGCCTGAAATGTTTAAAATGCACTTAGCGGCTACTATGATAGCACGGCCGAGTAATCATATTCAACTAATGTACAGTAGTTGAAAAAATTTTAGCCGCAGCAAATTTTGACAAGTTTTAAAATATTATTTTTGTTATTATTTAATTTTGGTCAGTTTTTTTATAGTTCATTCTTTAAC